TTGCTTGCTTTTTCCACCTCCTCGGCTCCTAGTCACGGGCAAAAGCATGGGCTTCATGGCCTGAGTGGCCAATCAGCCAGGAGGGCTGGGGAGGGAAGTCTGAGCTGTTGCTGGGAGTGGAAGATCAGTTGAGGAAGTGCAGGGCCTGGCGGGTGGCCGACTGGGGCAGAGGAGGCAGGGAGGGGAGTAGCAGCACCTGGGCTGCCGCCTTTATGAACTGGGGCAAACCGGTTCGTCCATTTCTACATGCAACTTACAGGACGCGCCCTCTTTTCTCCTCTCCCTCCTCTTCTTCTAGGGCCACAAACTCAGAACTACCTAAAACATCTGTTTTTTTTCACCAGTCCAAGAAAGTGTAACGTTATAGTGATCACTGTCTCATTTAGCACTCCCCATTCTAGGAATGTATCCTGAGCTTTAACCAAGATTTTAATGTACATCGAATGCTAGCTTGTCTCTGCACCCAAGAAGTCACCAGCAGTCACTTGTTCGAATGCACCACATTTTATTAAATCTGCACAGAAGGCTCACAAAATGCACACATGGCATCCAAAAACACACGTCTTTTCCCTGACAAAACCTATGTCGCCGTATATGCATTTTCATCTCTTAATTTTGTGTGCAGCCGCAAATGTCTTCTTGGACCAGACTTCAGCGGGTGCTTTCATGTCTCCTTTAGCACAATTGCCCCATATTTCCAGAAGAGTTGTTCCTCTCTTTCCTTCCTGTTCAAAAAGGAAGTTCCCATGTCTCTTGCTACGCATGTACCTGAAGAATGCTTTTTTGTTGTTGCTTTTAGCATCTCCTGCTAACTTCAGCTCATTCTCAGCATTACCTTCTTAAGGCCACCCCTGCAATTCCTTGCTAACGCTCTGTACTCTTTCTTTGTGGCCTAGCCTTCCGTTCTCTTCCTATATGTGTCTGTTTTTTTTCCTTTTCAGTTCTTTCCTGAGCTTTTTGCAAAGCTACACCATCAGCACCACCACCTTCATCGTGAATCATTCACCTGGAGGATTTTTCTTTCCCTTTCTATTCCTCTTCTGAAAACTGATAGGATGGACGAGGAGGCCATCTGGGTCCCTTGAGGTTCCTTTCCAGAGATGCAAAGACTGCTGTGATTTCTTTGTAATGGCTGTGTCATTTGTTCCCACACGGAGAAAGGGATATGGGTTTTATGAGAGAGGGCAATTCTTCTGTCACATGCCTGATTTGTCCATTGGGGGAGACAGCATATATGGCATGGATCTCCCTGGCATATTTCAGTTTCAATTTCACACAGTGGGGAAATCTCCTACCACCACTAGCCTTCTCGTCTCATTTTCGTAAGGTGTGGGTTCACTGACTCCGCTTGGCTCAGCTTTAGCCCCTCTCATGCCCTCCTGTGGGGGCTCCTGCACGTCTTCCCCTGCATGCTGTCTTCCAGATGCCTCTTCAGGAATCTCAGACTGTTTTTGCAGTGCCAGGGCCGAAGAGCATCTTCTTCTGCTGCTGCTCCTAACTGTGGCTCCTTTCCGTGGGGCTTCCAGAGCTATGTTTATTCTCTGCTCAGCATTCTCCTGCCATGCTTTCTCTTGCTGTTCTTCCACCTCCAGTGTCTCTTGTGGTTGTTGCTGCTGCTGCTGCTTGGGAGTTCAGTCATCTTCTCTTATGGCCATTCACTGCTCCAGTTCTTTCACTTTTCTTTCCAACAGTGCTACTCGTTTGCACCTGTTGCAGGTGTATCCCATGTTGTTCTTAGGCACCAAGACCATGTTACGTCCGGTATGCAGGACACCATCCCTGAAAGGACTCTGTCCTCAATAATCCCTGTTGCCTTTTTGCTTTCTCCTCTTTGCCTCTGAAGACCCTTTCTTTTTTCTCATCTGCCTTGAAAGATGCCGAGAAAGTCCACTAAAATAAAACTATATCCAGAAATCAGAAATATTGCCAGGTGCCTCCCTCTTGGCCTTCCCTGCTGAATTCCCCCATCAAAGTTTGTTAGGATTCCTTGTTTGCTCGCTCTGGTGGCTCACTCCTTGGGGTATGTTTCAGTTTTATTCCTCTGCTGTGTTCTGTTAGGAGTCAGCAAACAGAAGCCTCCACACAACTGGAACCAACAGCTCACACAGCCTTCTTCCAGCTGACTGATTCTTTGCTGTAGGGTTTCACTGGCTCAGAGAATAGGACAGGTAAAGAAACCCTATATGCCTGATGTATTGACTTGGAACTATGTGCAATAAAGGGAGCTTTCGTGTGCATCTTGTTTTACATTGCAGCACAATTTCACCATCGCTCCTGGTTGCCATCCGGTTACCGGCAGCTGCGATCTCAGACAGCAGAGGCTGCCAGCTTCGACTCCAGCGGCTTTATGGGGCCGGGAGGGGGTTAACCTCGGGTCACAGGTTGGACAAGCCTCCTCTATACAGTCAAAAAAAGCAGTTTGTTTTTCTGAATGGTAGGACAGCTGTTCTGCCTGGTCCATCTCTAAAATTCCCATCAACCATCACGGTTCTACAAAATAAACTGCCAGATGTGGAAGGAAGGAAATTTTAGATTAGGCATCCTTCAGTCTCAAGAGACGATGGTAACGTGCTCTGAACAGAGGTCTTGGAACAGCGTTTAGTGTGGCTGAGAAGGCCAATTCAAGAATGACACAATCCCGTCCACACTGAAGACAAATACAATCTGTCTCCTGTCCAGCTCCCTGATTTTGCTGATTTTGGGACTGCCTCTTTGCCTCGGCCTGCTGTACAAGTGTCTCTTCAAATTGGGAGAGGCTGTGATGCAACGCCTGCCTCCAGGCTGAACGCTTAGAGGTCTAGGTTTCCCATCTGTGGAGGTCCATTCCTAAGGCCTTCAGATCCCCCTTGTAGATCTCCTTGTGTCGCAGCTGGGGTCTCCCTCTGGGGCGATTTCCCTGCACTAAGGGAAGGAAGGAATGAACAATAAACCAAGCATGACTCTAAAATACAAATAGGTCAGAGAAGAGAGGAAGGATTGGCGTGTTCTCAGTGGAGGTCACGACGACCTTCCTTTGTACTTACTAAACACATGGTACCAAGAGGGTTAAGGATGCTGTTGCTGGAAGCTTCCCACTGTTGACATCACATGCAATGGCTGCTGGTCCCTTGTTCCACTTCTGAGACAGGATGTTGTTGGATAGCTGCTGCTGGAAGGCAAGAACAAGGGAGGGCAAAGATCAGTCTGTTTTTTTTTGTCCTAGGTCAGCTCATGTCCACCCAATATGTGGGTGATACACAGTCACCTCTGCCATCAGGCCTGCTTTCATTGAAGGAGGCAGTTCAAATCCAGGGAAAACTGAGCTTCCACAGGGCGGGAGGGGGGTGGTTTCGTTGTTGTCTTGCTCAAGGTCTGATCCTTGTTCTTCGTCCTGCAGATATGTGCTGTTCTGAAGACTCCCTATGACTTGGCTGTAGCGCACCTTGTAGGCACTTTGAATGGTAAGATTTTTGTACATGACCTTGTCCTATGACTTCGGATTTTAAGAGCTTGAAAGTAACACGCTAAGATCAAAACTAATTACTTTAAGATCCTGCCAGCTGCACTTGTTGGGTGTGCTTAGAACAATGGCTTGGCACTGCTGGAAAGACGCCACACCTGGTGTAGATAAGTAGATTGTGTATTTCATTTATGCAGCAGAGGTTGGCTGTAATTTTAATATCAAAAGCAGAACATCAAGTACATCTTAAGCTCAATTTTCACAGGTTTTAGAATTTGTACTTGCAGTTTTGTTCCTTGCTATAAGGATAGTTTTTTTTAAAGTAACATACCTGTGACTTCCGAAAAGTTTACATGTTTTCAATCACTCTTAAATTTTTGAACATATAAGCAATGTAGAAATAAAGCTGGATAAATAGACATGATCAGGAACTGACCTTAGTTTCATGCTGCCTGGGAAATAGTGTGTTTGTTTTGGGGGAAATTGCCTAAAAGCTGCATTATGAAAAGCAGTGTTATTTGAGCACGCCATCAATTCAAAATTTCAAATAGTGACATATAGAGTGTATTACAGGAGTCAAATGTTGAGACTAGCAGTGCACAGACTGATGTCACCAGGGTCCTGTCATCTAGATAAGGACACAGCTGGGTGATTTACCATAGTTGGCAAAAGGCAGAGTGCACCACAGCAGGGATCTGCTCAAGCTGTGCTCTCTGGAGTTGACCCTCAGGGGAGGATCGCAGCCATCTGAATGCAAGGCCACCAATCCCCAACGCTGATGTTCTGTGGAGGTGGATCGTATTGAAAGCATCTGAGAGATCGAGGAGGACCAAGAGGGTCCCATTGCCCCAGTCGGACTCCTTTAGCAGGTCTTTTTGCAGCATGACCTGTGCTGTTTCGGTGCCGTGCTGAGACCTGAACCCAGACTGAAAAGGATCTAATGAGTCAGTTTCCCCCAGGAATGCTTGAAATTGGTCTTCCCCCACATTGGGGGGGGGGGGGAGGGGTTTNNNNCCCCCCATCGGGGGGGGGGGGAAGTGTCTTTCACTTTCCACCATTGCCTATTCCTTTTAATGACCTGGCAAAATTGGCCACAAACTTTTATTTGTGGTATATATATTGGGAAAAGGTAAATAATATATATATATATAATCCTTGCTTGGCAACAGATATCAACCAATTTAACCCTTGTGCAAACAATAACATCTGAATCAATTTAAGTGAAGCTTAAATGCTGTTCTTATTGCTAGTGTGACCATGGCAAACTCAGCTGGACCAATTCTGTAGAAGCCCGTGATGAACGGCCTCACCCTAAAGGCCAAGGATAATAGAGAGGAACAGATTCAATAAGAGCCCCACTGGGGGCATCTTGACCATCATGGCTTGTTCTTCTTTTATCCTAGTGCCTCTTTCTTTGGGCCCCTACGCAACTCTGAGGTGTTCATTGGCAAGAATGCCCCTGGTCTACGACACCTTTGCTGTTTTAGATTTATTTGTAAGTATCAATGAACTTCATGTCCTTCTGAGGTGAGCCATTGCCTGTTCACCCTCTGACCCTATTGACATTAAACCTCAGAGAGGGGTTGAATGTCTGTCTTTATTCCTAAGCAAAGACATAACAGGCCGCCATTTTCTATTTCTCCCCCCAGATCGATGTTGAGGTGCCAGGAAAGGGGATTCTCTCCATTCCCGATTCAGCCGGCTCCATCAACCTGCCTCCCATGGACAAATTTAAGCACTGCCAGTTTTTCCATCCAGAACTCTTCAACATTGTGCTGTCTGTTTTAGTTCCAAATGAGCCGCAAGAACTGAGCTGCGCCCCGAATAAGGTGAGCGGGTGTTGGTGCGGGCCAGCCTGGCAGGTTGACTTGGAATGACTAGAGGTTGTGAACAGGTGAATTTTACAGTTGACATGGATCCTTTGAAGGCAGGTGGGATTCTTTGGACCGGGGGGAATGCCAGTTCATTAAATGCAAGGAGAAACCTCTGTGCTGTAAGAGAATTGCTGACTTATCAGAAGAGCGATGCATTTTCACCCTTTTATGATGCCTAGAATGTTAAATGTTGTGCCACTGTTAGTACCTAATGTGGATAATGACACAATGGCTCTTCCAATGCATGTAATGCAATCTTCTTTTCCTCTCCCCTTTTCTGAAACAGTTCAGTGGAGCCGATGAACTGAGGAGTGCCATTTTGGCTCTTGTCCTTTCTAAGGTGAGTGAGTTTTTAGCTTGGCATGAGTCCCACTGCTTTACTTGCTTGGCCATTGCAAAAGCAACCTTCCGAAGGGTTGACTTCCAAAAGAATGAGACACAATGGCTCTCAAGAAAGAGGTTCTCCCATGGATCCTTTCTCATGCGGTTGCCACCTATATTTCATCTAACAGATGCTCAATGCATTTAAGAGCAGGCAGAAATTCAAGCTACCTACAATGTTATACAGTATATCTGAAAAAACACTGTCTGCTGAATTTCTACTCTCTTTTTTTGGTACAAACAAAGAGATTCTGGGGAGGCGTAAAAGGGCACCTTCAGAATCTTGGCAGGGAAAAGTGGATGCTGGGATCCTGCCCCTCAATAGAACTGAGGGGGGGGAGTACTGGAAAGATGGTGGACCTTTGCCAATGCTCCTCTCCTGTTGTAGTGATCCTTTTGAAGTTGAGCATGAACTTTGAGGTTAGGGTGAAAATATTTCAAAGGGGGAAAATTGTTTTGGAGAATATGTTGAAGCCCTAGAAAAGAACAACTTGTGCAGTTAAGAAACACGTACAGACACACACACACACACACCACATGAACATTGAGTGTGGCCCAAATGTTAAATGCTGTGTATATTTCCCGAGGAAGACAAATGGTAGTTTTTCCAAGAATCTGTATTTATTCTCTTTTCCCCCTTTCTTTTCAGAACCAAGGAATTATCTCTGTGGTACGTGATTTTTATTTGGGGACTAATCCCAGAGGGTGCGTGGGTGGGGGGTGGGGGCAAAGCAATCCCCCTACCCATTTTAGCTCTTCTTCTTTAGAAACTAGGGTGATGATTGGATACGTATCTCATTTTTCCCGCCAGGGTGCCTTGCACATTCGAATTTCCATTGAGGCGAATCCAACGGTGGTTTTCGGACCCAACGGCATCGTCATCACTGCCACTCTCAAAGTTGAGTTTTTCATCAGAAACGCAGATGGATCTACCTATTTCGTCCTCGTTGTGAGAAGTGTAAGTAGCACCTTCTGGATGACAGGATGCTTTGGTCAACACCAAAAATGCCCCCAACGCTACTGGTTTCTGCCATATTGAAAGGAAGGGGATAACCTTTCAGTTTGACCAAACTCTGCTCCCCGCTAAAGGATTTCAAATGTGTGTTTCCAGAGAGTCACTTTGAGTGCTGTGCTGTCTTTTGTGAAGGGAAGACTGATCTTCGTGGCATCCGTCACTGGGTAAGAAGAAGCCCTTCCTTTCTGTCCTCCATCTCCCATCCAGGATTGGATCTAGGCAAGAAGAGGCAACTGTGCAAGAGTTTCTGCTTAGAACCATCGTAGGAGGACATTTTCCATCAAATGCCTCTCTGATCTGGGTCTCCGACTCAGGCTAATGGAAAAGTTGTTTTAACACTTGGTTCTTGGGGAATTTTGCCATGTGGAATGGCTTACCCTATATCCCCAAAATTAAGACAGGGCCGTTTGTTAATTTTTTACTCCAAAAAACACATTAGGGCTTATTTTTTCATGTGCAACCATCTACATTTATTCAAATACGGTCATGCCATCTTCTTCTGGTTGCTGCACAGCAGTGGAGGGCAGGTTTTCACTGAACTGGGGCTTATTATGTGGGTAGGACTTATACGACGAGCATCCAGAAATATCCTACTAGGGCTTATTATAAGGTTAGGTCTTGTTTTAGGGGAAACAGGGTAGATGATTCCCTAGGAAGTATCTGTCTATGCACCCGGAAGGATTGCACCTATTTTGAAGGGATCTGTTGGGTCCCTCATCAAAATCCTCCATTCTGGAAAACTTTGTTGGGCACCAACATTCAGAGGCCTCGGATAAAAGAGAGTCAGCGTTCCAGGCATGTTTTGGAGGGGAGAGAAGGAGCCGTCTGTCAGGCAGAGGGCATTTTCAGGAGAGGAATTTGAATCATGGTCTAAGTCAGGGGCTGATGGAGTTCAGCTAAAGCGAGATGTGACAAGGATTGTCCTTGTACCCATGAAAGCAGCTACTTGGCAGTTTTGGCTGGAAGGCCCTAATTCTGGATCCTGACAGTCTTCTCTTTTTTCTGTATTTCAGCAATGCACTGGAGCTGATATCTTCTGATGCTGGGGTCTCTGATGATGTAAGTCAGTCTTTCCTGGACCTTAATGTTCTTGCTTTCAAGGATGCACATTTGGGTGTATCCTTTAAGTATAAACAGGGGAAGGGGGAATGGCTCTGTGTTGAGGCATGTGCTCTGCTTTGCAGGCAGAAGTCCCCTTGAACTTCCAAGTGGGGTTGAATGACAACTGTCCTTGTTTAAACCACTAGAGAGTTACTAATAGAGAGATCTATTTGTTGTTGTTTAGTCGTTAAGTCATGTCTGACTCTTCGTGACCCCATGGACCAGAGCATGCCAGGCCCTCCTGTCTTCCGCTGCCTCCCAGAGTCAAAGTTATGTTGGTCAATTCGATGAACTGTCCAACCATCTCCTCCTCTGTCATCCCCTTCTCCTCTGGCCTCTACACTTTCCCATCATCAGGGGCTTTTCCAGGGAGTCTTCTCTTCTCATGAGATAGGCAAAGGATTGGAGTCTCAGCTTCAGGATCTGTTCTTCCAGTGAGCATTCAGGGTTGATTTCCTTTAGAATGGATAGGTTTGTTCTCCTTGCAGTCCAGGGGACTCTCAAGAGTCTCCTCCACCTCCACAATTCAAAAGCATCAATTCTTCAGTGGTCAGCCTTCTTTATGGTCCAGCTCTCACTTCCATACATCACTACGGGAAAAACCATAGCTTTGACTATGCGGACCTTTGTCAGCAGGATGATGTCTCTGCATTTTAAGATGCTGTCGATGTTTGTCATTGCATTCCTCCCAAGAAGCAGGCGTCTTTTAATTTCATGGCTGCTATCACCATCTGCAGTGATCAAGGAGCTCAAGAAAGTAAAATCTGTCACTGCCTCAGATCTATAATCAGACCCAGCATAGGGCGGCTTCCTATGCCTGAATGTCCACCTTTCACCTCTTTGCTCCCTTGCAGGTTTCCAGTCTTGAACCGCATTGCGCCAACTTGCTGGGAGAAACCTTTTTGCTAGTTTTCAACGGTAAGACCCCAGGAAGGATTCAAGAAGCTGGGTGGTAGCAGTGGGCAGAGGCTGTTGCCTCCCCAGCCTCTTTGTGGGTTTTTTGGAGGCATCTGGCTGGCTTCTAAGGAAACAGAGTTGGGACCCTCTTGTCAGGTCATGTGCTTGTCCTTTCACTGTCTCTGTCTCTCCTGAGAAGAGAGGGAAAGATCCCCCGTTATGGAACTTTCTCCCCAGGAAGACACATCTAGCACCAACTTTAGCCTTATTCTAATGCCAGACAAAAGCTTTTGTATTTAGAAAGCTTCGGAATTAAACTCTTGTTAATTACCGTAATTAAAGTCTTGTTAGGGGTCAATCACACATGCCTCTGTTGTATCAGTTAGTTTCCCCCCCCCAGGGGTCACGTGGTAGATATATAGACCAAAGTGTCCCCATTGTTTGTTTGTTTATTTATTTATTTACTTATTTATTTATTCACTTATTTCTTTATTTCTTTATTGTGCTCCCATCTAGACCAAAGTCTATTCAGGGGCTGCTAATAACATATAAAAATAATAAAATAAAATAAACAACAACATTTAAACCATAAAGATAACAATAAATTAATTATTGACAGGAGGGAAGGCCTGCCTAAAGAGCCAGGTCTTGAGTTGGCTCTTAAAAACACCCAGCAAGGGAGCCAGACAAATTTTGAGGTGAAGATTGTTCCAAAGGCGAGGGGCCACTGTAACTGTATTGTTACATGTCTTTCTGTTTGAACCATTATAGCAGGTTACACTGCTCTTTAATTTGGTATTGATTCATTTTCTCTACTATTTCTTAGGGCAATCAACCTCCCTTGTCCTTGTTAAAAAATTACAAACATGATATATTGGTAGAATGGTATGAGTCTTCTCTCCGCCTCCTCTTTTCTCTTCCCTCCTCTATTCACTAGTCCTGTTTTCTTTATTTCCCTGCATATCTCTCCCTCTGAGTTCCTGGATTACAATTTTCTTTTCCCTTTTGAACAATGCCTGAAAGAGGAAGCGGGTTTTAAAAGACTTGCAAAGCGTTGTGAAGAGAAAGACTGAAAGAAAAGCGAGAAAGAGAGATTTGCATTTACAATTCAAAGCTGGAAATGTCCCTCTGTGTTCAAGCCCTCCTCCATGCACAAGGGAGGGGGAGAAGTGTGTCTCCTTCTGAGCAATGTATTCCTGTTGTTTTTATGGCAGTGGCAGCTGCTATTAGTGATTTATTGGTATCCTTTTTTAAAAAATGAAAAGGGTACAATTGCAGTGGCCATGAAGTGGCCACAGGACCCAAAAACCAGACCCCTTTGCAAAGGAACAACAATGTTCACCCATGCTGAAACCATAAGGAATTAAGCAATATGACATGATTGGTACATTTCAAGTAACAATACAAGTGAGAGGGAGATAAACTGATTGCCGGGGCAAATGAATGTTCGCTGTCCATAATGTGAACAGAAAATTTTGGAACAATCCAAATAATGGCAAAAATGGTACAACTGGGATTCTTGGCATGTGTGATTGAGACCTTCGTTGTTTTATCAGCCCGCAGTGGCTGTTTTCCTTTTTATGACTGCTTTTGATGCACTGCTTTTTGCTCATGTTTTCATCTAATCATAGATGGGCTCTAGTTTGGTGAAACATGCTAGACCAACATTTTGGAACAACCTTCCCCCTGATATTCGCGCCGCAGTGGCTGTTTTCCTTTTTATGACTGCTTTTGATGCACTGCTTTTTGCTCATGTTTTCATCTAATCATAGATGGGCTCTAGTTTGGTGAAACATGCTAGACCAACATTTTGGAACAACCTTCCCCCTGATATTCGCGCGGCCCCCTCGCTGGGTATTTTCAAAAAACAACTAAAAACATTGATGTTTCTGCAGGCCTTCCCCCTAGTTAATTCCTGATCCCCCTCCTCTTTTCTTTCCTAATGTTTAACCCAATTGTCGAAAGTTTCCCTTTATGTAATTCTGTTGTTTTTATTGTTGCATCCTTTGTTGTAAGCCACCTAGAGTGGTCTATCGACTAGATAGGCGGGATATAAATAAAATAAATAATAATAATAATAAATAATTAACAGAACAAAGAGAAGTTTCTCTAGCCCTGCTTCACAGATCAGAAATCAGTTCAGGGTGGAAACCCAAGCCCTGGCTCTTGAGACCAGCCTCCATCCATGTCAACACATTGTTTTCAGTGCTGGATATAATGTGATTAATTAATTCTAGGGCGCCTTGCTGTTGGAATCCCAGTGCCTTCAGTCTATGGTATTGTAATGATTAATCCGACATTCCAGTTTTTTGAGGTAAGCCTTGAGCAGCGTTTATACTGATTTCTTTGAGTTGTCATTCATTAATAGTAGCAATATTTGGTGCTTTACTGACATTATCCAACTGGAACGATCAAAGGAACCGAAATGGGGAGGCTGGTATTTTTTCCATGCTTGTGAGTGCTAGGATTTGAGGAATGAGTTGAAGGTGAAAGGATGATGGCTTAGCCAAGAGAGAGGAGAAATTCAAACCAGGGACTTCCTCTGCTCACTACTTCCTC